AGGACATGTTCCAAGCCAACACTTTAATGAGGTTTCCCTACTTGTTTTGTCATAGTCCACTTGTGTTCGCCACATTCCCACAGAGGACAAGAGTGTCCACACAGATAAGTTGGTGGCCCAATAAAAACTTGGTCCCTTTCCCTGTGGCAGCCTGGCCCTATGCAAGAATAGGAGAGGACAGAGTCACTTTCCTGTGGCATGATCCTGCAAATTTCATAAATTTCATCTTAGAACTGGAATAGGAGAGGTGTCCAAAGTCCATTTCAGCCCAGGGGAAGCCAGCCATGGAGGGATTAAGGGCTTGGGGCTGTTAGAAGTGACCCTGGACTCAGAGAACCTGATATCCCCACTCTCTCAGCCTTTTCCTGGTATGATACAGATGTTGCTAATTCTTAATCACCTAAATATCAACGGTAAAATTAAAGAACTAATAGTACCAATCCAAATGCTATTTTTTTTTTATTGTTCTCTGGTTAGAATGCCAGCAAGGGCCATCATTCACAGGTAGAGTGTCCCCAATTCCAAAGATGAAAGCAAGAAAGTCTGATTCTGAATATAACTGTTTCTTGGGCTGGGATTATAGCTCAGTGGTAGAGTGCTCACCTAGCATGTTTGAGGCACTGGGTTCAATTCTCAGCATGACATATTAATTAATTAATTGTCCATCAGCAACTAAAAATAATAATAAAAATAAACTGCTTCTCTCCTCTTCAATGAACTCCACCTTGGTCCCTGTCTTTCCCCCCTCCCTTCACCCCCAGGATTAGCCCTTTTTATCCCTATAATGTAATTATTTCTCTTCTTTTGATTCCTCTTCTTATCACTGTGATTCTAAAGGAAAAGGTTACGTTCAGGTCACCAAATGCCAGTCTCTGGAAATCTCTATTTCTTCAAGAAGCTCTTCAAATTAAAAGAGAGCAAGCACTGGACAATTTTTAAAAATCTAATTATAAAACCATTATTATTTTAGGCTGAAGATCATAAATCTAAGTGCAGGGTTACCCAAATTAGAAAAGGCTTTGAAGAATCTCACAGGAAGGAACCACAGGGCTCTGACACAGACCATGATGATGATGACCCCTGTGGACTCCAGCCTTCAGGCCTCCAGCAAGCCCCCTCGTAGTCCATGTGAACTGATGGACTCTGCTGGGCATGGAAATAACTCCAAAGATTCCACTACTAGATCTACTGACCATTTAACCCAGAGAATGTTCATGATATGAAGGTTCTCCAGGCCCTGGCCTAGAGGCTGTGACTTACTTGTTCTCAAAGTGAACATGCAACTTGCCCTTTTTCCAAGCTTCCCAGGTGACTCTGATTCTGATGTTCAATTGGATTTTGGAACCACTGGTCCAGACCCTTCTGGATTCCTGCCACTTTTATTTTTTGCTAAAATTGTATTGCCCTGGTCTTGTTTATACCTCCTGGACACTCCCTTGATCCCCTAGGTGAATTTAAAACAATAAAAATAATATAAACATCTACACTTAGGATTACTGAGGGCTTCAAAAATAATAAAAGCATCTACACTTAGTATTAAGATTGCTGAGGGCTTTACATGCATCTCCTTGTGCAATGGGATCAAGTGAGTATTTTCAGTGTCACTATACAATTGAGAAAACTGTACTTCAGAATGTTAGTGTCTTATCCAAAAATACCCAGCCAATAAGTGATACACCAGGGATTTGAACCGAGATCTGTCTGATTCCAAAACTGGACTCTAGACCATGTAGTAAATACATCCAGAATCAGTCATTATAATTTATGGAACTTCTACTACGAACAGGCTCTTGGCTGGACACCTCCCATACAAATCTCTAATACTCATGATAGACCTGTGTTTCTAAAATGTGACTCTTGGTCTCTAGATTCCGATTTACAGAAAAGGTCTTTGTTTTCTATAAGCCATCTGAATTACTAACTCCAAACCACTGTCTCTAGCCCTCCCTGGGTTCCTTCTCTCACCCCCAAACCTGTTACCATTCTGGACCAGACATACACCCAGGCATGGGGCTGGAAGCAAGTACCTGGTCCTCTGTTATCAGTCCACACAGGTGATCACTGACTGGACCCATGAGCATGGAAGGCTCACTGTGACTCCCATTCCTCATGCAGACCATCTGCTGGCACACACAGAATCATTTCTTCTCTGAGTTCTTACCTCCTTGCAGGGTTTCTGGGAAGCAAGGAATCATCTCTTCTGTTCTCACACCTGGAGAAAATTCTCCCTCCCCACCTCCTCAAAACACAAGAGTCATCTTTCTACTAATGGGAAGGTTAGGGTTCTTCTCCCTTCACATCCCTTTGAAACAGTGCATCCCTTTTCTGGTCTTTGTTGGCTAGAATTCACTTACCGTAAGGTCCTATGTTTCTGGAAGACAGAAGTTCCATAAACTTCTCTCTACTTTGCCCCATCTTTCATAGGAGAAAGATCCAAAAGGACAGGTTGGGAGAAAAATAGTAAGTTGATATCTCAAAACACCATCTCAGGCCCATGCTGTCTCCATTTAGGTGAGGAGATGGGATCCATTTTGCATAGCTAGTAGATAGTGAACCCAAGATCTCAGGCTGGAAAGCTCCTACTCGGATTCTAAGAAGTCCTAACCCTCTTGCCTCCTAGGAGCCTCTCTGTCCAGCCCCAGGGAAACACAACAGAGCTTGTGCCCTAACTCCTCACAGAAGGTGGGGTCCACGGCAGGCAGGACGAGCTTGGGTGGAGGTAGAAGTAGGCAGAACCCCGAAAGGGGACAGACACCCACTCCTACTTGCCTTGTTCCAGGAAAGCCTCACAGAACCTGAGCTGGTATGAACTGGTGGTAGAGGTTGGGGTGGGGCCAGGTAAGGGAATGACAAAAGCTAGAACAACTTTGAAGGCCTCTTCCCATGTAGAAAATGGTAAGAAATATACTCTGCTGGGTTTTTTGTTTTTTGTTCTGTTTTGATTTGTTTTTTGGTTTGGTTTGGGTTTTTTAGGCACTTGGTTTCATCAATGTCTTTGTGAGTTATTCTGCAGAGCAAGGTGAGGGTTGAAGATTGTCACTGGCAGCACCCAGAGGAAAAGAGATGAGATTAGGCTCAGGGAAGAGAAGCCTCAGGGGATCATGAGATGATTTTAGGCCCCAACTTGATAGGGAAAAACAAGTAAAACAGAACTTTAGCTCCTGCTTCACTGTGCAGGGTAAGAAGGAGCCAGTCAGAAACTGTGCATTTGACAGGAAGGCCTCCAAATTGCAGCCCTTGGGAAGGAGATGCAGCCGTAGGACTCCATCTAGTTAAGCTTTGGTTAGGAATCAAGACCATCCAAACTTGTTGATGGTTTCAGAAGGTCTTTTAAGTCAGGTTTATCCAGATAAAGATTTTATAACTGCCTCCACAACATGTCCACTTGGCTGAGAGTCATCTCCAATTCCACATGACCAAAGCTGAACTGAATTCCTAGCCTCCCCCACCAAACCTGCTCTAGCCATGGCTTTCCCTACCTCAGCTGATAACGACCCCATTAATCTACTTGCTCAAACCAAAACTCTTGAAGTCACCCTTAGCTCCTCCCTTTCTCCCACCATCCTACATCCCAGCAGTCAGAAAATCCCATTCATTGTAACTTCAAAGTCCATCCAGCACCCATCCAGCCACACTGTCATCACGCTGGACCAAGCCACCATCACCTCTCACTGGGTCAGCTGCAAAGCCTTCTTAGTAGGTCTCCCCCCTTCACCTTGGCTCACTTGCAAATCAGAGTTAGCTTTTAAAAATGATTCAAATCATGTAACCCCTCTGCACGGAATGGCTCCTTGTGTCTCAGCATAAAGGCCAAAAGCTTATGATGTTGTCTCCCTAACTCACTGGCTTCCTTGTTATTCTCAGAACATACTACATGTCCTCTGATCCCAGGGCCTTTGTACTAACTGCCTAAAGCACTTTTCTCCAAGATTTCTACAGGGGCAACTCCCCCAGCTCCCTCAAACCTTTGTTCCAAGTTTAACTTTCCAACAAGATTACTGCTACCCACTGTGTTTAAAATCGCTACCTCTTCCCTCCTCAACTCTGCTCTACCTTTTCTTTTTCCACAGTTCTTAAGGCATCTACCAATCTACATTAAGTCTCTTCTTTACTATGGCTATGGTCTATTATCTGATTCCTCCTACCCAAACTCCATAAGGACTAAAATCTGGTTTATTCACAAGTATATTCTAAATGCCTAGAACAGTGCCTGGTACATAGTACGCACAAATATCCTGAACAGATGAATAAAATTTAAATAATGTTAGAGATCCAAGGAAGGTGACAAGAGCCCTGCACTGCCACATTCCCATCCCCCTACCTGGTTCTGCCGAGTGGCCTTGCTTCTCAGTCCTCTCCTCAGTTGAGCATTAATTAAACAGAAGAGGAAAGAGCTGTTTACTCTGGGGCCACCGCTCAATGGGATCCTCAGCAACGGTATCTTTGCTTCTCCCTCAACTCCTTGCACTGAGGTGTAGGGCTTTCTTTCCCTTTCAGCTGTAGAAACATTGCCTTACCACTCTTTGGCCACAAGCATCAGCACTTGTGCCCAACTCAAGAGAGATTGGACCCTCTGGGGGTTCCCAGCATAGCAGGGTGCTTTTCCTACTCTTGAAGCTTAGTCTGCAATTTGAAAGATGTGAGATGGCATCCGCCTTGCAGTGCTGTCAGAGAGAGACTTGGGCAATGCAGAAGCCACCTAGCCTGACCTTTGACAGAATTTCCAAACACAACATGTTAACTTTAAATTGATTAAATTTGGAACTATGACCTTGGTCCAAGAAGTTAAGAATACATGACAAGATATTTTATTTTCAGAATGTATCAGAATTAAAAGAGACTTTTGTGAATGGATCTTTTTGGTATTAGATACAAGTAGATTTGGGGTTGGGGGCAACAAGGGAAATAGCTACACACTAGACAACATGTTAAAGGTTAATAATTAATGGCAGCCTTCCCTAGCAAAGTATCAATAGACATTCTGGTCTCATTAGCTCCAGAAATTAGCAAGAAGACCTCGGACCCTTGGTGAGAGAGGAGAAAATGGGAAATCGCCTGCGTGTCTCCATTTTTTTGGTTTTATGCATCTTTATCCAATCAAGTACTTCTGGACGAAGCCTGGAACCAGGTAAGAGCTAATCTTTTTTTTTTTTTTTCTGGAGATGGGCATGGATTTTTCTTTTTTAAGTGTGTGTCACAGAGATTGATCGTATGGGACAGCATGCTTAAGAGCATACCAGGTGGTTCTATTAGTGGCACCACAGGTTCAAGGGACATGGAGCACTATATAAACAGGACTAAAATGTTAGACAATTACTCTGGGAGTAAAAGTAAAAGCGCCTGCAGCTAGCAGCTAAGTATCTCACAATTCTGATGCCGACACAGTCTTACTAAGATTTCTTTAGTGGAGAATGATCTGACTTGGGATCTTCCTGAGAGTTAATTTGGCGTCTAATTTGCAGCTGGGGAGCACAGCATGCAATGCAATGCTCTGTCTTGCTGGGATTGTCGAATTGCCTGGCTCTCTCCACAGGGAGGGATTTCAGTTCTAGTTCTAGTCAGGTCTACAGTAGGGATATCACTGCACATTTTCTAGTCTTGACTTTTCTGCCCAAGTTTTCCTTGGAGCCTGAAGAATACACCAGCAGCCTCTCCTGTTTTGTCTGTAATTTCATAAACTAGACTGATGGCCAAAAATAGATCCAAATGCTAAATCAGGTAGGTGAAGTCCAGGTTCCTATCTGAACAGCGCAAAAGATCATCAATAAGTGACAGATAGGCCAGGTGCAGTAGTGTGTGCCTATAATCCCAGCAGCTCTGGAGATTGAGACAGGAGAATAGTGAGTTCAAAGCCAGTCTCAGCAATGGCGAGGTGCTAAGCAACTCAGTGAGACCCTGTCTCTAAATAAAACACAAAATAGGGCTGTGGCTGTGGCTCAGTGGTTGAGTGCCCCTGGGTTCAATCCCCGGTACCAAAAATAATAATAATAATAATAAATGACAGATATGAAATTACCTGAACAATTTGTCCAAATGATGGGTATTTGTTGGAAATGAGTAACAAGATAATAACTGCTGAGGATTTTTTTCCTCCAAGACTATGTTGTAGGGAGTTCCAAAAACTTTGAGAATCAGGAATTTACTAATAATATATGTAATTGAAAAACACCAGAAATTTTTCCCCTTTAAGAAAAAGAGCTGTTCCTTTGCACTTGATTATTATTCTACATTCTATACTTACTAACTTCTTAGTAGTATTAATTAGTACCATTCACAGAGCATTTCATATGCCAAGCACTATGCTAATTATTTAGCATTCATCATCTCATTTTAAAGCTATATCCAAAAATGGCCTGTACATAATAAGTTAGAGCAGGTAAAATTGCTGGTGGACTTTTATTCCCTGGGTTCACAGTGATTTCACTAAATCACTGCCTTTTGCCCACAATGTTGTGTTTATTATTATTATTATTATTATTATTATTATTATTATTAAAATATAACAAGTGTCTAGAAAAGAACCTATACCTAAGTCCTCATGAATTTTCACAAATGGAACCAGCACCCCACAGCCACCTCTGTGTGCCCCTTGAGCCTTAACAGATATCAGGGGATTTGTTGTTATTGGAAACACATAGTTGTGCTCCCTGGCATCTGGCTTCTTTTATTAATGTCCCTTTTGTGAGAGGCACCCTGAAGTTTCAAGTAGTCATAACTCCTACTCTGGGGCTCCTGGAGCCACACACCTCACCTGAATAGTGCAAGAGATCATCAAAAAGTGACAGATAAGCCAGGCACGGTGGCTCACACCTGTAATCCCAGTGGCTCCAGAGGCTGAGACAGGAAAATAGTGAGTTCAAAGTCAGCCTCAGCAATAGCAAGATGGGCGTTTTTTATTCGTCATTTCTACTATTGACTGGCCTGACCTGTTTCTGCGAGTGGGATTTGAGCCTTTGAAGCCATCAGTGCTGAAGCAGAGGTTGAAGGGAGGAACATCGCCCCCACACCCTCCCCATCCCATCCTCCACCCTCCCCCTCCCATCCCCCATCATCCCTCCCCCACCTCCACTCCATGTCTGGGTGTCATCCAGATTTTTCTCAAAAATCTCATCATCCTGCTGCGATCCCAGGTTTATTCAAAAGCAGAGGAAAGTGACTATGATGAGCAGGAGGGCTCCTCAGGAAAGAGGACCAGCGTCAGGAGGCCTCTTGCTCCCTTGAAACCAGACTCTCTTGGCAGAATTTTTTCTGCAAGGTGTGAGCCCCTTCTGTGCGTGTGGCTGGTGCCATGTCCTCCAGGGGAACTGCAGGGATGCCAGCATCCTATGGTGGAGCCCTTCGCACATGAGCTTCTTTAACAATGGCTCCCAGCGGGGGCACTTTTACTCTGCAGGGGACATCCACAATGTATGGAGATGTTCTGGGTTGTCACAGCAGAGAGAGTGCTTCCCTTCTGTCTGCAATGGGTTGAGCCAGGGAGGCTGCCAAACTTCCCACCGTGCACAGGAGAGCCCATGACAATGAATTATCTGACCTGAGATGCCACAGCTGAGGAACCATGGTCTATGCCAAGCTTCAATGACATTAGTCAAAGCCAGGATGAGCTCCTTTCCTCCTGTTCCCCACCCCTCCCAGGCTGCTTCTTCTGAGTATTATTAACGATACTTCACTAGCAGATTCGCTCACATACTGTACACCCAGTATGTGTCAAGCACTTTGTGAACATTTTATCTCACACTCACCCAATGTTTGAATAATCCAGCAATTAAGTGTCTTGCCCAAGTTTCCACAGATGATCAGGGAAGAGCTGGTGGCGGTTCCTGGAGCCTCTCCATGTCCTGAAACTCCAGCCCTCTGCACTGTGCCTGTGCCCAGTGACTTGGTAGCCAAAGGGCATTAGAGAAGCATTCTGCTCAGTTCCTCTCACAGGGAGGCAGATTCAGACCGTTGTTCCTGACTGTCAGCACCAAGGGGGACCAGATACTGTGAACTTCTTGAATGCCCATGGCACTGGCCCCTGTGGCCAGCCCTCATTGCTGAGTTCCAGATGTACCCCACTGATGTTGCCTCCAGACCAACACTGTTCCAAGTGGTAGTTGGAGCTGCTCTGGGACCCTGCCAGACCCCATCTTCTTCTGCCTCAGGTGCCCATCTTCTGCCTTCAGTCCCCATCACAGCTGCCAAAACCTAGAAGGGGCAGGAGCCCATCCATTCAGTCACTCACGACCCTGGGCCACACACAAGGCAAGGTATGCCCAAACATTCTGTCTCAGTTAACCCAAAAAAGCTATTTTTATGTGAAATTCAGCTATCAATATTTTCCTTGTAAGAAATTAAAACAGAACTTAAAAAAAAAAAAAGTTTGCTAGTGCTTTTAAATAACAATATGCCCATCACATGTTAACATATAAAACATAATTTTATAAAAAAATAACTTTTATTTTCCAAATAATAACCCAAAAGATGAGTCAGAAGAGTGACTTTTTTTACAAAGAAATTTTGCAAATCTACTTAATATCCGACTTAATAGACAGCTGGGTTCTCTTATCTGTGTCTGGAGTTAATCTATTGTGATATGTTGCTACATCTATGAAGAAAATCTGGACCCCCATATAGGAAGAAGGGGGACATGCTTGGAGCCTTGGTCCACACTGAGAACCACTGCATTTGTGCAAGCAGCACTTACAATAGAGGACCCACGGCCTGCCCTGTCCCTGCTGGGACTTACTGGCCCATCAGGGATGAACCAGTGCAGGAGAGGTGGCAGCTATCTGCCCTGGAAGTTGGCAATAAGGGAGCCTTTGTCCCTGGAGAATTTAAACACAATATTAGGACCAAAAAATTGATCTATCTTTCATTATCACATTTCTAAATAATGTCTTTGATAAAAACAAAGCTTCTCCCAGCAAAAAAAAAAAAAAAAAATAGTTTTTTGATCTAAATAACATCTATAGTTATTGTTGGGTTCTATTAATATACTTGTAAACTTCAAATGATCATACTTTTATCCCTTATCCTTTAATAAGTTTTGTGTTCTACACAAAATTTAAAGAACCCCCAGTTATACAGTTAATTTAAAGAACCCCCAGTTAGAGTATCTAGTCTGATACTCACAGACTAGAGAGAGATGTGCTCCTTGTAGGAGTGAATGTTATGGTACAAACTCCTTCCAACTCACTTGGGCACATCTGATGTCTCCAACCCCAGTGATGCTTACTACCTGTTCCTGCATTTAAACAGCAGACTCAAGAAAAAAAAAAATGATAGCATGGTGATTGCAAAGACAAAACAGAAATTAAGTTACTTCCACTCTGTCATCCTTTGTGAGTCTAAGCCAAGACTTTCTCATTTGTGTTTAAAATTTAAAGCAATAAAGCAGATCACGAACTGTGAAGTAGAAGAACTATTTGTAAAGTAGAAATTTGGGCTTATACTGGAAAAATTTTACTGCACTTGAATATCTTATTGAAATTTACTCTTCTTTTAATTGCTCATTTAAAACTTAAGAATGAATCAAGAAAGTGATGATTATTAATCTTTGCATATACGTTACTGAAAATAACTTTGTCTTGTGGAACAGAGGCATATTTTAATGATACAGTCTGAATGTCAAATACAATGCACATGGTACTGTGTCTAATGACGGAGATTAGACACATTTATAAAAAGTTTTCTCAACCAGAGCATGGAAAGTAATGGTGCCCAGTAGAGAGGCTCAAGCAGAGGCAGAGAATTCACTTCCTAGTTCAGAGTATGCAGAAGACTCACAGGAGGAAGTAGTGTTTGAGCAGGGCCCAGAGGAGGAGGAGGCCAAAAGAGAAGGAGGCTTTCCTATACAGAAGCAAAGGTACAGATCTGATAAATTGCAAGTGGATTTTCAAACCCAAACACCTTCTAAAAGACCATTTATGGAAGAGGAAGGGAAAGAGGTAGGAGAAGAGGAGGAGAAGAAGATATCTCAGAAAGGTAAACTGGAGACGCCTCCACTGTCCAGCAATGAACCATTAAGGATAGGGAGTCTGGCTATTGCCAAGTCTGCCTTTAAAGCAAGCATTGTTTTAATTGCCTACTTCTAAAAGTTCCAGAAGTCTTTGAGGGTGATAATATGGGGTTCAGAAATAAAAGGCT